TTGTAACGAAATCATCCGAAACATTTTCAATAAATCGTAGATAGATAGTAGATATATTGTAAAAGAATGATGACAAAACGTTGACGTGGAATAAATAACATATCATCTTGATGGTTAATAGCCCATTTGATAGCTAAGAAAAAAGTGAAGTAAAGATAATCAACAAATACACCAATAGACCTTAGCACAATGGTCTAGATATGAAGCGCACATCAAGAAGTTTGAAGGACCTAAGTTCTAGTTCTGATGGCGGAATTGTGGATGCTCACTGTAGAAAAGTTCCATACTATCATGAAACAGTTTTGTAGACTTTTTAGCCTTCAATGTTTGTCTAAATAAAATCAACTCGGGACTGAAATTATGAAAATTCAATTCTGATCTGACGAATCCCTTCATCGATTATTCTACATAATGTCCCATAAAATAGCACTCAATATATTTGTGGTATATGTTACTTATGTTTTCAAATATAAGTAGTGTATAACAACAATCGGAAGTGGAATGTCTGCGATTAGAATGTTAAGAAGATTAAAATGAAGAGATAAGAACTGAAAATTGAAAACTGTCAAGATAACAACAATAATGAAAGAACAATAAAACTTGTCTTCCCTACTTGAGTGGTCATTCATTACATATTTATTCATACAGCTACTTAAAGATTGATTGAATGCACTTATTTATACCATAATTATTTGAAACCATAACAAAACAATAAAAATTTTCAGTTAAAAGAAGTAAACACCAATTCTTTTTAACTTTATCTGAATTATTCAATTGATTTACCAGTAGGCTAGAGATTATTTAGGTTGTTTTAATTTTTTTCTTATTATGATATATGTTTACTAACTTATCTACTCAAAAACTGACATAAACAAAGTATAATATCCTAATAAATTAGAAGTGATAAAGCACAATAACAAGTTAAACTGTATATATATTATGTAATAACCGTGAACAATCATATTATCTAAGGGGAGTGTTTACGAGGCCATTGGATTTCGGCTCTTTACTGAAATATATATATATATATATATATATATATATATATATATATATATATATATATACATATATACATAATTAAAGATAAATCATGTTCTTTTTTTCTTCGTTTAAATCAATGTTTATTGATAAGTGTAGGGATTATAGTGAATTATTAAGTTAAATTATCGAAAATAATGTAATATCGTAAAGTGAAGAAACCATAAAAAATAAATCTCGGAAAATTTCTTACATTGGATTATAATACCCTTATCTTCTTGCTGTATTCTCAACCGCTATTCCTTCATCTAATATTCTGTTGTACTGCGCATCCACGATCCCGCCTCGCGGACCTATCAGACTCATGAGCAAACGCTTAACCACTAAACTACTGAGCCGGCTGGCATCCAACAGTGTTAATGTCTAACTTTAACTAATCCACGAAATCGAGCGACACATCCATCATTATCATCAGTGAGTTACTATCTTACAACAGACCTGGTTGAAGTTTACTGATCACTGGTTTTTACTAGAACTCCAGTAAAAATCTCTTGAAGCTAGTCACAAGTGAGCATATGATGATTATTATCAGAAGGGGGTTTTGTGGAGATTTTTGTAAATGAAAACCATGGAAAAATATGAACTAGAAGGAATGAAAATAATTTCGTTTTTTCTTGTAAATCATGTAAGTTAGCGTAGTATAAAGACGAATTTATTTTTTTATTTTTACACAACTGTTGGCAAAGAGTTTTATTCTTGACTTATGATTTTAATAGTATCATTTAAGTCTTTCATAAATAGTACCTTGACATTGTGTACTCACTAGTGACTGGCTTCAACAGATATTTTGTGAAGCTTTAGTGAGAATCCATGACCAGTAAACTTCAACCAGGTCTGTTGTAAGATAGTAACTCACTGATGATAATGATGGATGTGTCGCTCGATTTCGTGGATTAGTTAAAGTTAGACATTAACACTGTTGGATGCCAGCCGGCTCAGTGGTTTAGTGGTTAAGCGTTTGCTCATGAGTCTGATAGGTCCGCGAGGCGGGTTTGTGGATGCGCGCTGCTGATGAGTCCAATACTATGACAAAACGGCCGTCCAATACTTCCAGGTTTTCCAAGATGGTCTATCATTAATGGACTCATGAATTCAACCATAAAATTACTAAAATCTCCACAAAACCCCTTCTGAAAATAATTAAATTTCTTTAAAAAAACTGTACATTTTAGAATGGTTACCTTGGTTTTCTTTTATTCTATACCAAACTGATTTAATACAAATAACATTAAAATTTGGATATTCATACATTATATATTTTGATTTTATAAAGTAACAATAATGAACAGTAATAAGAAAAGTATCACTCTTATGCAACATCCTGTAAAATTACTTTTATTCATCATTAACTGATCGTTTATTTGTGATGAATGATAATGTATACGCATCCTACTAATTGTGTATTTGCTTCTGATATATCTACATTCATATTGATTTTGACAGTTCAAACCTTTGTTAGTCAGTGATGTTAACCTTTCAAGTATTCAGGATATGATTAATCTCTAGTTGATGGATTAATAATGTAAGCCATCATTAGATCCATGAATAGGGACCATATATAATATTATATTATCAATCTGTTATTAAAAAATTATCATAATTGAAAAATCCAATGATATACTAATGTTTATCAATAGCTTACTTAAGAGTTGAATATTACTGTTATTAGTGGTTTTGTTCAATATTATATTTTTGGCACAATATAGAATTCTCAGCACAAATTATTTCAGCGAGTTTCCGTTTTTTATTTCTTGATTGATCCTAGCGATAAATATTGAGTGGTTGCCAGTTCGGTGTTAGCAGTTTATGAATAGACTTGTGAATAATGCATATTCTTTTCGATGCATATTACCAAAAACCATGATGTCTCTGATTGGGCTGTTTTGTAACTTGTACAGTGAAATGTCGTAAACCTTTCACAAACGCACGTAAATAGGTTATGAAACTAATAGGCATAATGATATGCTAAAACGAACAATGAAACAGATAACTTATTGCAATATCCAGATGGTAGAAACAGATAGTCCAGATATTCAAGCAGTCAATCTAGTCTTAGTCAGAAGTATAATTTCTCAATTACATTTTTCTACTATTAAATCTCGTCTATGTGTCAGTGTTTCAAAGCTAGAATACAAAACGATTATCCAATCCTTTCGGTTATTCATTTATTTCTTAATTAATTTCTGATATGATGGAAGGACAAATCAATTTTCGATTGATTTACTCATTATGAGTTTTATTCAAAATTACTTCCGTTCTGATTTAATGTGATGATTATTCAGTGTAGTATTCAATTTCATTTTCTCGTATGATATTTTATTCTGTATAATATACAATATTCTTATATTCAATTAACATGAACTATGCTCAGTAAGTGATTTGTTATAACTCTGAGTATTTTCCATTTATGTGATTTCATCCTAATTATTAATCAAAATGTGTGTACAATCAATATATAAATGAGTGTATTTTTGACTAAGGTCGTTGTCGTTGTGCTTTAGGGGTTAATAAATCTTCACTTATACAAGTCTTAGAGTTCCTACTTTCCCGTCGTGGAAATTGCGGAGTTCCCTCTTTTCGAGTATAAGTGATAAGCGTTCCCAACACAACAATCAGCGATGATCAGATATAACAAGTAGTATAAAACTGACAGGTGATAAAAACTTCAGTTTATAATTTATTAGCTATTTTCATCAAAAAGCAACTAATATAAATTCACTTGGTATTGTTTATTTGGAACTTCCCATTGATGTTTAGCACTGAAATTGATTAGTCTGTTATTGGCATATGTGCATACTGTGCCTATGCCTCGATATTGCCTTAATTCACAAGCTTTTATAAGCAAAGATGGATAGTGGCTAGCAGTGGAATCCAGGACGCGCGTTTCATTCTATTTGAGATTCGTTAACTGAATATACTTGCATTGCAGTTTCAATATTCACTCTAACACTCAAACCCAATACTATTCGTTTCAAACATCATCTGTTTTAGTAATTCAATATTAAAAAATATAAAACGATTATTCAATCCTTTCTGTTATTCATTTCTTTTCCAATTAATTTCAGTTTATAATTTGTTAGCTATTTCCAGTTTCTAAAAGAAAAAAAGAACAAAACAAAACTAGTATAGAATCTTTTTAGTATAACTTGTGAAACTTATTTTGATATTAAAATTAAACTATAAATAATTAGTCTCTATAAATAGAAATATTTTTATACGTTTCGCTTCTATGATTCAACTAATAACAACGAAGAAAAAGAAGAAGAAAAATAAAAAGAAGAAAAAGAAGCAAAGAACAGAAAGTATCTTTATTTTTGCTTATATTTATAAAAGAAATAATAATGAATTCAATTCATTAATTTATTGAAATTATAAACATAAGAAAGAAGCATATACCTATACGGAATTAAACTAACAATTAAATTCATTTCTTTTTATTGTTTATTTATTTTTTGTAACAAAATAATTTTTTTCCTTTTTCGTTAAAGAAAAAAGTTTTTTTTTGTTTTTAGTATGAAATAGAAAAAAACCAATTAATGAGGATAATTATTTTGTTTGTTTGATTTTTTACATTTTCAGGAGAATGATTGTAATTATAAACTAAGGGAAATCTACCTAATCATCTATCGTATTGATATATATATATATATATATATATATATATATATATATATACATGTATTTTGTTTAGATTATGACTCTTCCAATAAAGATAATTGAGCAATGAAAGTTTTCTTAAATAAGTCTTATCCAATCCCTGTATAGTAGATTATCTTAATTTGATAGGATAATTGTATATTTATATTTGATTAGTATATTACTTTTAAATAAATAAGATATTTATGAATGTAAATTATAAAATAAAATGATTAATAACAATTTGATAATTAAAATTAATCTTTAATTTATCTATCATAAATGATAATTAACTAAACATTAATAGAAACAAAACATACTATTGAATTTATTATTTTATATTAAAATACAATAATGTATTATAATAATTATCAATTTGTTCGTATTATTATTGGATGTATAGGAATATTATCAATATTATCACATATTATAGCAGCAACATTATGGATCGCATATATTATAGGTTGGAGAACAATACGTAAGTTAAAATATATACAACAAAGACAAGAAATTAATCAACATTCATCTATTACACCTTATTCAACAATTACAAATACAATATCTTATAAAAACAATGTAAATTTGCAACAACATCAACACCACCATCACCAACAACCACAACAACAAAGAAAATCTATAAAATTACGTAAACAAAATTTAACATGGCCTATATGTTCATTAAGAATGTCTACTCAAATTATAATATTATCAATGGAAATGATTAATATATTAGGTTGTTTTGATTTAATAAGATTAATATATCTTTTAATTACTGGTAATGATTTACGTTTAATAACAAATGATTTGTTATGTAGATTACAAATATTTTTATCATTTATAAGTTGTGATATATCTGGTTGGCATTTTGTATGTTTATGCATTGAACGTTGTTATATAACATTATATCCTAAAAAATTATATAGTATGAATCATGAATCTATTGGACCAGCATTAATAATGATTCTATTTGTTTATATTATAAGTATATCATCAAATATATTTTTATTAATTACAAAACAACCAGTATGTTCTGGTACATTTAGAAGTAATTCAATAAATGTATTAAAATTTTCAATTACATTTATTATACCGGTATTAATTGTTACTATATCAACAATAGTTATGATAATTGTATTAATTAAATGGAAATTAAATAATATTAAATTTGGTATTAAAACATTATCATATCGTAATCATTCAATAACAATAAATAAAACAATCAATAATTCAATGAAAAATAAAACATCAACTATATCATTAAAACATATAAATTCAATAACAAATCAATTAACACATAGTAACTTAATGAATTATTCAAATAAAAAACAATCAACATTAATTAAGTTAATTATATATAATACATCAGCTAGAATAACAGTAGCTAAAATGATGTTAATTTGTGCTATATTATATTTATTTAGTTTATTATCATTATTTTTATTTGGTTCAATATATGATGATTATTGTTGTTTTTTAGTAGCAAAAATTAATAATAATTGGAATGATAATTTATTTAATTTATTGTCTATATTATATTGGTTTACACAATCCATAACTAGTTATGTATTAATGTTAGGTGCTGTTAGTATAAGACATGATATACAAATTATGATGTGGTATATATGGTGTAATATTTTTAAAAGAAATGAATAATACTACTACTACCACTACTGCTACTACTACTAATAATAGTCATGTTAATCAATAAATGAAATTTTAATTTGTTGTCATGCTATTTCTTTAATTTATTATTGAAATATTTTATTACTAATGTACTATAAATAAAATAGATTATAGTAAGTGTCATTATCTTTTTTATTGAATTTTTCTTCGTTTATTTTTCTTTACATTCTCATTTTTTGTTTGTTTATTTGTTTGTTTGCTCTATTTTTTTTTGTTTGTTTGTTCATTTTTGTCATAAAGAAATTTAATTAATTATTTATTTGTTGTTAAATAAAATATTAAGTTAATATGTAATGTACATGAATTTAATGTTAATTATTTGTCATTTATATTGTTTAAAAGTGTTATATAATAAATGTAGATGATTTTATAGATAAAAAAGAGGGTTTTTTAAGGATGAGAAATAAACATACCTGAAATAAGTAAAAATGAAAGAAAAAGAAAAACATGAACATTCACTCGGTGTTGTTTACTTGTATTTTCTCATTGTTTGAAGTGAATGGTATTGGGTTCGAGTTTTAGAGTGAATATTAACACGGAGATGCAGGTATATCTAGCTGATCAGTCCTAAATAGGATGAATAGCGCGTCCTGAATTCAATTGTTAGCCACTATCTATCTTTTCTTATAAAAACATAGAGTTCTAATAATAATTTGTCTATGAAAAGGATAAAATTTAATCAATTGGTTAGTGAAAATGTAATAGAATAATATAAAGCCGTTTTGGTTATTGATGAACATTGAATTGTATAACGATTTAATTAACTATTAAAAAGATTTAGAATAAATAATTTTAATTCAAATTCACTCGGAATTGTTTACTTGAATATTTCCATTAAAGTTGAAGGCTGTAATTGATCAATCTCTTATTGCCATATGCGCATACTGTGCGTATCGACTCGTTATTGCTTTAATCCAAAAGCCTTATAAGCAAAGATAAACAGTGGCTAGCAGTGGAATCCAGAGTGAACATCAACACTGAAATGTAGGTATATTCAAACGACGAGTCCAAAATAGGACGAAACGCGCTTTCCGGTTTCCACTACTAACCACTATCCATCTTTAATTATAACTCAACTTTTTTTTTAAAAAAAAGGAGTTTAAATTATTATGCTGTTGAAGAAATCGATCGAATTGTTACTTTGTCAAAGGTTTCACATAACAGATAGATCACGGATAATAATAGGATCTAGAAAACACATTTTATCCTGTTTCTTAATTGTTAGCTGAATGTTAAATGTTTTATAATCTTTATAATTGATATTTCTTCTCTAATATAGTGAGTTACAGCAATATAGGTTCAAACTTTAATGGAACACAAAGTGATAAATGGGCATATCTTGAGGGACACTAAAACAATGGGTTTGTCTAAACAGTCAAAATCTTGCTTTTGTTTATATAGAAAACAGTGCAATAGATATTTTTAAATTACTTAATTTTTAAGGTTTAGGGATTAGATATTGAATGGTTAAAATTAAACATCTAACTCGATTTAGTTGAGATGAACATCTATTTAACGGAACATAAATTAGAATAGTTTGACAAACAAAATTTTCTTCTGAATGATTTAATTCACTGAACCTGTACAATCGTATTTATTATTGTTTTATATACAATAATTTCAATAGTTGAGATCATGAGTTGATTGAAGCTGGATCACCATAGAAAACCTCGAAGCACTGGATAGTCGTTCTGTCCTATTGCGCAACTCGGCAGTACGCATCTACGATCCCGCCTCGTGAGATTTGAACCCAGGACATGTCGTTCTCGCGCGCGAACGCTTAACCTCTAGACCACTGAGCCGGCATACAGCGGTGTTAATGTCTAACTTCAACTAATTCCTACATACAATAGTCAACATTTTTATGGAAAATTATTAAATCATTACTAAAGATATCAAAACGTAATTAAAAATCTAAAGTCCTGAACAAAGTTACGTAAAAGACAAACGGTAATCATAATTGAAGTAATATATAGAAGAGTTATGTGAAAAATAACTGTCCACATGATGAATATAAAAAGCACAATGAAGGTATGAATACTTATCAAAAACAACATGCAAAATAAGTAGATGGGTGTTACGAATGTGCTAAAATAAAGGATGAGATATACAGCTTCTAAACACAATGAACACATTGGATTTGAACTCCTGAAGACCATGCTACATATAAATTTCTTGTGTAACCTCCCTTTAAGTAAATTCACCTGAATTTCTCGATAATTTTGACTGAATATTCTTGTAAAATGATAGAAGACCAAAATTAAACGGATTTTCAGTAATAAAGTTATCAAAATTGAGATCATGAACCGATCAATGTTAGACCACCATTGAATATCTGGAAGTACTGAACGGCGGTTTCATCCTAGTACAGGACTCCTCAGCAGTGCTCATCCACAATCCTGCACGCGGGACTCGAACCCAGGAACTTCAGTGTCGCACAAACATTCAAACACTAAATTACGGAGCCGGTAGTCCAATAGTGTTAAAGTCTAACTGCAATCAACCTACAATATTGTGCGACCATCTTCCATAAAATTTCTGACTGATTTGAATTAACCTTAAGATAGCCATATTGAGAAATGTTTGAATATATGTCTGGAAAGAACATGTTTTTGCTACCAATGCAACATGCCCCATAGGAGTACATAAACCGATAAATCTAATGTTTAGTATCCCTCATGAAAAGTAGCTAAGATTATCACTGATACATTAGATTGACTGTACAATCAACAATGTTTCCTCAAAAGTACAACATGAACAAAGTGATATTTTCATTATTCTTAATACACAGTAACAAGTCTAAGTGTATTATGTTATAGTGATTAATACGGAAAAAAAATGTTAATTCATGTGAAATAGCTTCACACTTTAAAAATTAGGAACCTAAACAATTTTAATTATGTGATGTAGAGAGTTATGTTGAAAATAACTAAGCGTGATAAATGACAACATAAAAGTGATATTATAAATTAAATGTTTTACCCAAAACAGAAAGAATACTAATAAAACTGAACGTCAAGGTCAGATTGAAGGGTAACAAAAAGTTGATATATTAAAATAAGAATTGTTGCATCTTCTTAAATGGTCTAAATTCAATCGAAAGATTATTGCAGTGGAAATGATAACACGTCGTTCACTATTACAATACACTTACTTACGCCTGTTACCACTCATGGAGGAGCATAGGCCGCTCATCAGCATTTACCATCCAAATAAGTCCTGAGAAATCTTTTCTAGTTCTTTCCAGTTGCTAATCACTCTTTTCATGTCTGCTTCCAATTCCCAACGTAGTGTGTTCTTAGGTCTTTCCTTCAGAATTCCAAGTTAGGGCTTGCACCTTGATTCAGTTTGATGATTTCCGTAATGTATGTCCTGTCCATTTTCATCGTCGTTTCCTAATTTCCTCCTCAGCTCGAAGCTGGTTGTAATAGTTTTCCAAGTTTCAGCTCCGTACAGTAGAACTGTCTTGACGTTCGTACTAAAGATTGTGACTTTAATATTGGTTGATAATTGTTTCGAGTTTCATATGTTCCTCAACTGTAGAGACGCTGTCTTTGCTTTGTCAATCCTTGGCTTTACGTCTGCATCTGATCCTTATTGTTTATCGATGATGCTGTCTAGGTACGTGAACATTTCTACCTATTCCAGAGTTTCTCCGTCAAGTGTGATTGGATTGGTGTTCTCTGTGTTGTATTTGAGGACCTTGGTTTTTCCATTGTGTATGTTGACGACTACTGATACAGAGGCTGATTACAATACACTTAGAAAGAATTACTTTGTATATACAAATCAGTAGTTATTTTGGAGCTGAAAACGTTTTCCTAAAATTCAAATGAAGTATTTGTAGGATTGATGTAACAGAAACTTCTTAGAATGAGATATTATTATCTATTTCAAGGAATTATCCTTACAGGAACATTTACAACAATAAATAAATTTTAGGAAAGTTATACCGTATGATAGTTTTGTTTTAAGCTTAGAATTCGTTAGGCTGAACTCTAATATACAAGATGAATAATCACGTTTCACTACCGTCATTTCTATCCACTAGTTCATTTGTTTTTACAAAAATATTTGACTCGTATCTGATATCGGAAGGATAAGTGAAAGTGATAATTACTCGGCAAAGCCAAATAAATCCAATACGTAACTCTGTATTATTCTACTTGATCGATAAAGTCAATATACTGAATAGAAAGAAAGTAAATAAAATCACTTATCTTGTTCCAGCAGTTTTTGAAATCATCATCCCTACTCTTTTTCAAACATAGATAACTTTATAGAAGTGTAAACCAACAAGATTTACCTTTGTAAACAAAACAGCATCTAGATAGCCTTGTCTCTATTATGTGCTAAAGACACTCAATAAATGAATTTATTGACATTCGTTAAGGTTTTTATTTACCCGCTATAAGTGGTGGATTAAATTTTATCAATCTCCATTATTGTCTGGACTCCTTAAATGAATCATTCATCACTATGATTTACGGGTATTAATGAGACTCACGATACATATTCCATCTTATTTAGTACCCATCAGCCGGGCATACTTGTAACTTAGTGCTTCTGTTTGTACTGAGATTTGAACGGCATCAGGCTTTTACCAGTTAAGTTTCAGGAGGAACCTCTAGCTTGAATGATTTTTCTTTTTGGTGACGGAAAATCCTATCGATAAAAATTACATCTTAATGGTGACTGAGTAAACCAATGCATTTCATAGGAATTTCATACAAATGTCAGATAATTCAACGAGAGTAATTTACTTATTTGAAACAATTAACTCATCAAGCACTAAATAGACCCTCATTCTGACTAGATATTAAAATGATTCTATCCGGTATCATTAAAAAGCATCAAGTTGAAGCAGATATCATTTTTTAACTAACCTTAGCGTTTTTGTTTGCTTCTCACTAATATTATTCATCTGTAACTCGATAATGATTAAAGTCACTGTAAAACTGATATTTGTTTCAAACGGGTTAAATTGTTTTTTTCTCTGCTTCGAGTTTTATAGCAACCTTGTTTTCTACGGAACGAAGTTACTGACCCTATGTCCAACCTTCTTCCTTTATCCAGGCTTGAGATCGACATTAACCTTAGAAGAGTTTTTGACGGTGTTACGGCACTAGACAAACTATAAATTACACCCATGTGTGATACAATCTGTCTATAGAACTTAAATATATTAGCGTGAGTCAAATCAACAGAACCGTTTGCTAAACTTTGATTAATTGAATCGTCGGTTCAAAATTAAATATTTCTGTTCATTTCTATCCTAAACTCTTCACAGTTGTGAACGGACCAAATCAAAGAATAACCAATAAGAATAAAAACTATATGACATTTTGAATAAATCAGTTGTAAACAGAGTAAGTTTTTTCTGGTTGGCGTTTTCTAGCGAGTTAGTTTTCTACGAATGGGATCGCAAATCATATGCCCAACCCTCCTCCTTTACCCACACTTGAGACCGGCAGTAACTGTGGAAAAGCTACAGGGATCTACAGGCAGCCAGTGTAGCAGCAGTCTCTGCATCAGTAGTCGTCAACATACACAATGGAAAAACCAAGGTCCTCAAATACAACACAGAGAACACCAATCCAATCACACTTGACGGAGAAACTCTGGAATAGGTAGAAATGTTCACGTACCTAGACAGCATCATCGATAAACAATAAGGATCAGATGCAGACGTAAAGCCAAGGATTGACAAAGCAAAGACAGCGTCTCTACAGTTGAGGAACATATGAAACTCGAAACAATTATCAACCAATATTAAAGTCACAATCTTTAGTACGAACGTCAAGACAGTTCTACTGTACGGAGCTGAAACTTGGAAAACTATTACAACCAGCTTCGAGCTGAGGAGGAAATTAGGAAACGACGATGAAAATGGACAGGACATACATTACGGAAATCATCAAACTGAATCAAGGTGCAAGCCCTAACTTGGAATCGTGAGCGGAAGCGAAAAAAAAGAAAGGCCAAAGAACACATTATGTCAGGAAATAGAAGCAGATATGAAAAGGATGAATAAAATTTGTAATGTGGTAGAGAGGATTGCTCTGGACAAAGTTGGATTAAGTGTGCTGGTGTGGGGCCTATGCTTCTCTGCAACGAGTAACAGGCGTATATAAGTAAGTAAGTAAGTAAGTAAGTAAGTAAGGTTGTACACTGCAAAATATATTGAAAGAAATTGTGATACATGACCATTAGAAAGTAAATAAAATTGTGAACTTGCATCACAGTAAAATATTGTATCTAAACAAAAAGAGTTGCAGATAAATGAAAAAAAGTTGCAGCATAGTAATACTACCTATAAACTAAAAAAATACACATGTCTGTACGAAGACTTAAGGAAAGTAAGTTAGAAAACATTAAATTTATGCGATTGAAGATATAATAATGGTGTGAAGAATATAATTAGGCTTAAAGTTTCATAGAAATATCAAAGATTTTTAAGAACCCAGAATTTCAATTCACTTATTTATCCCTTTGGTTTTAATCTGCCATGTTTTATACCAAAATAAAAAGAAGTAATTCCTTTTTTCCCTAATTATTTAAACGAGAATAAGAATAATCTAGTTAGATACTGTGAAACGAATGTTCAGGTTTTAGAAACAATGAAAACATCAAGCAATCAATAAAAGTGGAAAATAGAGCCTTTGCATGGAAACAATAAATGAACTTTATTATATACATCAGTTTAACTGCAATCATTACGTTCATTAATAATTCACTACAAGCAGATATTGAATTAGGGAGAGAATGGATGGTGTATCCATAGGAAATCTCAATATTTAATTCAAAAACTAGATATGAATTTTCAACCTGTTACCTTTGCACTTATAAATTAGTAATTATTCATTTCATTTGAATTGTAAAAAGCATACCGATGTAATAATATTTTAAAGTGTTTCTTCACAAGTTGATCTTAATACAAATATAGAATTAATCACATGGAGAGTTATTCATCAATTCAACAACAACAAAAAAACGCCGACTTATCATGTTGAAAAGGGAAGTGAAGTCATTATTATTATTCATGTGAATCACATGATACACCACAATAAATGTAAAAATGGTCACACGAACGCCCTACAAGTCAAACTGTTTTCTCAACAATCCTCACGTTGGAATAAAATAAACATGTTCTTGAGAACTTCAATATGAGATGGAGTTATGAGTGTGCTAACTAATCCACTCAATAAATCCCATGAAGTATCATTGACTGAATAACTTGTGAACAATGTGAGATGGGATAACTTGCAAGAGAGTAAATATTTCCCATGTTACTTAGTTTGAACAGTTATAACAATATTATCAATAATAACGATGATGATGATGATGATGATGATGATGATGATGATGATGATGATGATGATGATGATGATGATGATGATGATGATGATGATGATGATAAAACACAAGTGTTTTGGATACATCGTAAGTGATATGACGACTGATTTTGAATTCAGTTGAAACATTTAGTAAACAAATTCACTAAACGAAAATCCACAACAAATACAAATTCCTTTTTGAATTGTTTGTTTGAATATTCCCATTGGCGTTTAGCACTGTAATTGATCAGTTTCTCTTTCGCATATGTGCATTCTGTACAGATTGCCTCGATATTGCGTTAAGTCACAAGCAATGTAAGCAAAGATGGATGATGGCTAACAGTGGAATCCATTGTAACATTAAGATTTCGATGAGTGTTCGAAATATACATGTGAGTTGGCATGATTAGGGTAATAACAATATCGATTTGTTACCGAATTCCAAATGTTACAGTATTTATCAGTATTTGTTGAAGTAAACACTTCGTCATGCATTTCACAAAACACGTTTCAGATCGGTCGTAATGTGAAGGAACAAAGCGTAAAGCGAACATGTTTCACACTGCTAGGTTGTTATTCTCCTTTTCACTCATCACTTATATTAATGCATGCGATCTCGATAGACGACCTCAATAATGAGAGCATTTCTCATGGATCTATTCAGTAATTCTTGTCTTTATTAACATGTACCCTTTTCATTGAACCACTTTTTCACTGTCCCTTCAGATGCACACCCTTTCAGTCGCACCCTTTCGAATGGCTGCCCAAATGAAGGAGGTAAACCAATATGATATTGGGAAGATCAACTTCAACTCTTCAATATAATTGTCATATTTATGTTTATGTAGTCATTTAATTTGTCATATTATGATTTATTTTTTATTTTTTTAAAAACTAGATTATGCTATGAATTTTGCTTTGACTGTAATTTTTATTTGCCGCATCCGATTGAGTTTCGTCGGACATTCGTTTCATGCTGGAATGATATCCCAAGTCATAGTAAGTTTAATCATATCGTTGGTCTTTTTTCATGTAGACCGTCAATGAATAATGTTACTTGGAAAAGGTTTGTTGTGCTGTAAACTATGTTTTTTACGGGTGAGCGACTGATGTCTTCAGTTTCAAAACAATGTCGTTTATCTTCCGTTACGTAGGTCTTACTGGCCTATAGTCTGTGATTTGGATTTATAGGCTTAATTATCTACATTTAACTACTTTGAGTAGCATGTCTGTGCAAATGAAACAGTAATTATAACACCTGCTTAGTTTAGTATTCGTGGTTATCGTATAATTAAGTTTAGTCGATATAATTATACCATACCTAAGTATAGTGCTTGAAGCATGTAATGAAGCAGATCTGTTCAGTAAGTAGAGCTGCTCACTCATTTTGATTAGCATGCTTAAGCGTTACAACTATAAAGCGGTCAGCGTATATAGGTCCAGGAAGCTGAAGTTGAAAGCTTAGAATTTTTGCAGAACAGGAGTAATCACGAGGATGTTATATTGATGTATCATATTTATCAAATTCCCGTTGGCCCTAACATATTTCTAATTCATTTCGTTAATAAATTGAACGTAATATAGTAGTGATATGGACCCATTGTAATTACTTGGCCCTTGATTTAAACGACAGAGAAACTGCAGTGACTCTCATTTCAGTCTGCTTATAATGAATATACTGATTCAAATCAGTCTGCTTACAAATAGGAAACAAAAATCCCTTGGATGCTGTTGTCGTTATGTATTATAAGATGGCGTTCATTTTAAAAAAGTGATAAGTATGTTTGGTGTTTATTTTTAGACCGTACGTCTAGCCCTGACCATATTTCAAGATCACTGTCATTAAACAATTTCCCCAGCAGGATAGCTAAGTGTCTGTGTATTTACTTTCCTGCAAAACAGCAGTATAAAGTCCTAGATGAGGAGTGTTCTTTGTCTTAACCAGATGCAGATGGCTGTGGACAAACATTCAAAATCATTCTGACAATTGGGAATTTTAGTTTATCAGACACTAACTCTACTTATATATTTTCCCGTAAAACCAAAAGCAGATGCAAGCAATGCCTTTGCCCAAACTAATGGAATATTAGTAACGCAGGTGTATCCCGTATGGTACTGTGCATCGGTCTACGAGCTCGCTTAGCTTTTACTGAAAGTACTACTACAGTCCTGTTAAACATGTTATGAGCCCCCTTATCTCCATCAAGACAAATAAGTTTGTATTTACTGAATACAAACATTTTATTTTTCAAAAGTAAGACATAGCATTATATATGTAAATTATATTTGAAACAATCTCAGCGATTGAAATTTAAAATAATTCCAACGTTTCGTCCAGCCAACTTGTCTGGACTTCTTCAGGGCAAGTTGGCTGGACGAAACGTTGGAATTATTTTAAATTTCAATCGCTGAGATTGTTTCAAATATAATTTACATATATAATGACTGCTCTATACTCGGCGCCCAATATCTGTCAAACTATTCGTTCTAATCTTGACGAATATGCGTATTAGACATAGCAGTTGAAAATAGGAGTAAAATCGCCATATACAGCAGATACATATGGCGCGCATTGTCTTCACCGATTATCTAAAATACAGAATACAGATATTAACTTAACAGGTGCATTTAGGAAGACTTTAATGTCCATTTTGAAAGGACAACATGGAATTACTGTGTGAATAAGCCATACTGGTACTACTGGTACTGGGCGTACGAAGCACTCAAACTGGAAGATAGTTGTCCCAAAGTAATTCGAATAGGAAGGCGGAAATTTGCGGGTATTTCTCATCATAAGAGTGGTTGTGGAACATCTTATGTAAAGCTATCATATACTGGTTAACACCATACTGTAAAAAAACATGACTTCGCAACCAGTACGTTTTGATCTATAAAAAAGTGAACATAATGACAGTTAATTACCGTTTACTCCCTGATCATTGCCCTTCAGCTTCCTTTTATGGCCAAAACAGAAAACATAAATTACATACTGGTAGTTGATACCCTGCTTCTCAATTTCAAGCTTGCTTGCGTGACGCGATGAGTCCAACTCATCTATTACTGCTATATGACATATTTTTAATAAAAAGCTTCTGCAATAGATCGACAGCATTTCTGACGAGGTTCAGGGTTGTCAGGTGCCTGGGTCTCACAATCTTTTTGAAAACTACTGATATTTACCAGTACTATGCACTCAGCATTAGTTTGACTCGTTGATGGGATACAGTTGTCCATAATACTAAAGAAAATAATAAACCGGAGGTCGTTTTCTTACATCATAAATGATAGTTATAACTGTTCCTATAGGAACGAACGTGCGGACAGTCAAAGTCCCAGGAGGCAGCAACACTTATTTTAGCCAAAAATACTAACTGATTTTAAAAAAATTTGCTCTATCACTTAGAGTATTACATTAACTGTGGAATTTCAGCACACTGAAGAACAAACGAAACAGCGGAAAAAAGCAAAGAGCGAGGAAAGCCAACCGCCATTCCTCACAAAGTTAGTGGATATGATAATCCTTGGTTTCTTCTGATTGGTCGCTAAGTAGACTGCCACAATTACGAAACCGAATTAAGTTTAATTGCAGCCTGTCTTTGTACACAAGAAAAAACAATATGAATATGGTTTTCACATCAAATTAAATCCTATAATTTTGATTAAGTTTGTTTCACATAGGTTCCGATTCTTTTGAATCAAGATGAGCGGTAATACAAACAATTAATCAAGTGAAAATCGATAATCAAGACAGAAGACAGTAGAGTAGCTTGTTTTTATCTAATATGCGTCTCTTTTTCTCTTTTTTGGGGGGGAATCGCGTTCTTGTTGTTGCTTTTTTCTCAGTTAAGGTTAGTAGAGCTACTATTTTATAACAAATGTTCATTCCTTAATTCACATCATATACATTAGGAAACATATAAGTGTTCATGAAATAAATGCGTGAGCGAACTTTTCAGTTGACTGTAGTCAAGATAAATGGTAACTTACTAAAAATTTATTTCTAAAAAATGATTAATGTTTTCCACATTGATAATAAACTGTAGAAATATCCAGTCGTATTTGTTAATGAACATAAAAAAATAGAAGAGAAATAAAACGTGGGAAACACTTACTTGTGACGAATGATGTCATCAAAATCAATAGTCATTAAGTTTCATATGGATAGATTTTAAACATTTCTTGTCATGTTTAGATCTATGAGCATTAGAAAACGCATCAATGACAAAATGGAGAAAGGCTAGAATATATGTTCAGATCACGATTAAAATCTAATTTCTCTTAAGCTTTTTATGTAACCAGTAGCACTATCATTGTGATCGGTCTTTTACACAATACATTTAGGTCTATCAAATTTGAGTAACTATGGTAGAGAAGTAGAATTAAGTTACAGGTCATACAAGATAATAGTGACAGAAAACGAAATTAAGAATGACTAAAACAGAAATTTGAGTGTAATAGTCAATTAGAAAACAAAAAATTCTTTCTACCTGATCGTATTAGTTAGTAATTGTGATAAGAGTCAATGTGAGACACTTAAGTTGTATTTAAATGCTCCACTCGTTAATGTGGTCCCAATCTTTGCCTAAAATAGATATTTGAACACACGCCGCGAACAGAATAGCGTTGTTGCATCTTCGAGTCATGCAAGGTATAACTATTTCAAATCGGCATAGTTTTGATCATATACACCTAAATTTTGTTCTTCTCTTAGAATAACCTTCAGAATCCATCTGGATACTAATAATTGCAAACTAATTACTGAAAGACAAAATATTTTACCCTTTGTAAACACTTTACGTATTGAACTGATTAAATGTAAAAAACTAAGAGTTTTCTTTGATAATCAAATGATACTGTTGTTAAAATGCCAAGTTACTTATGATAAAATTTTGTTTATGAAACCCCTAGTCTCAGAAAACGAATGGGACTGTACTAATATCGTTTCTATAGTCAATATTCAGTTCTATCATTAATTTTTCCTTCTTACTTTTCACAAGATGATAAAGGCCTTAGTGAAACTGCACTCCTGATATGAATGAAGGAATTATATAAATACTTCTGGTATGTTAAATAAGGTTCTTACATACAAAGCATGACTATGAGCTT